TTCCCTTCTTCTTTGTACCTTTTCTAATTATATGATTCATATATTGACTTTACTAGAGTCAGTTCTTAACTTCTTTTGTTATTCAGTTGCTTTCAATTTATTGCTCTGTTAGCCTACGTCTACACTGCAGTGCTATTTCGAGATACCATCTTTTGAGTGCGCCCGTTATTTCGATATATAATGGGCTTGCTATTCTGACATCCCTGTAAACTTCATTCCATGAGTAGTAAGGGACATTTCAGAATAGCAATTTATTTAGAAATAAGTGCTGTGTAGACAGTACCAAATTTTGAAATAAGCTATTTCAAAATCAGATCAAAATAAGATACACAATTTGCATAGCTCAAAATGCATGTCTTATTTTAACCTACAGTGCAGTGTAGATGCACCCTCTCAGTTACACTTCTTATTTTGAATCTAGGGTACCATAGTCAACAAAATGTAATATAATATTGTATTCTAATGGATTCCTTCCAGTCTCTTTTCTTGGCAGTCTTTTTACCATTCTTATCTTGAGCCTGAGCAATGAAGTTGTGGGATTTGCTGCCCAAAAGGGTTGTCTTCCTTACCTTATTCTCAGGCACATCTAAGTAATATAAAAGTAAATCACTGCTGTTATGAGAAAGTAATCTGTGGAATGCAGTTGGTTACTTTTGAAATCCAGCAGTCAGTTACGTATACTGTTGTTCAAAGTAATAATGAAGCAGGCTTACTTTGGTTAGTTAATTAAAACACACAGTTAATTAAAAATGTGCTTCAGCAAATGTTTGGTGCTTCCCTATCCAGAGGCATATTATGCTACAGTTAATACAGATTGTGTGTATGCACTCAGAGTATAATGGAATGTTCCCCTTTTCCTACAACCTCTCCATTGTCACTGGGTTTTTTGTTTTGTTTTATTAGGTTTTCCTTTATAAAGGAAATCCTGAAATTCTGCTTTCTTTAGGCCTTTTAAATCTATTGAGTTGTTTCTTTTATCTGTTTTCCTTTTATTGTTCTTGTTCATATGCTATGAAAATATTTAATAAACATTAATATTAGAAAAAAAGTTAATCAAACATTTTAATTTTACATGACGTAAATGTTTGAGGATAAAAGGTTATTTTTATTACTCATTTTATTTCTTATGATCAAGATTTTTTGTATTCATTTTGAGACGGTCTTGAATCTCCAGAAAGTGATGTGAGAATAGCAGAAAATACTGTCAGATGCAGGCGCACTCTTTGTTTCCCTGATAACATTCATGCATTTGACCTTCATTAGGGAAGGACATTTATCACTAGCACCATCTAGCCATCTGTTAGTGTACTTGTCCTCTGTTGAACATGTTCTTGTAAACTGACGTATTATGGATCACTTCAGGCTTATAACCCAAGTAAACAGTTATGAAGAATGTTGATGATAACTCAAGGACATGTACAGAACAGAGCATTGCAGTTTGTAATATGGTTAAAGTAAAGACCACAAATCACTCTTAATAGTGTTTCACAGTTATTATCTCAATGATGCTGGCCTCTTCAGGTCTGCACCATGGAGCAAATCTCTCTACAGGGTATGCATGCATGCACAAGAGGACCTGCTTTGGCATTGATGCTTTTTCTAAGATAGGTCAGCAATGATGCCCCAGGCCCTTTTGCATCACCACTGGAGTGTCATGATGCCCCACCCCTTCCATCTCAAGCTTTGCCCTTTTTAGGGGCACATTGCCAGACCTCCACACATACCTTGTCCCAGGTCCCATGGTGCCTGTTGGTCCCACTGTATGCAATTCTCTGTGTGTTACGTGGGCCACATCCACACACTAGATATCTATCTTCATGACCCTGTGGATGTCACATGGGCAGCAGCTGTGTGCTCATTGGACTATAGGTTGAGAACCTCTGAGATAGACATATGAATGGGCTGGGAGTGACGATTTTTAATTGTGGGGATTGGAGTTTTGTGTGAGAACATCAGTTTTTGTGGACTGCCTGCTTTGGTTTGAAGAAAAGTTACTGTTTTGTGATTACTGTCTGTCTTTATTGGCATTAATTTTAATTATGCTGAGGTGCTAAGAACTTTAAATATTCATCTATTTTGTATATTGATATAAGATTATGTAAATAAACAAAAATTTACATATGTGATAATAGCTTTCTCATGTGCATTTTGTTGTCAACTGTATGTTTGTGGGGCAGAGTATATCAGGCCACCTCTAATAAGCAAAACCTTTGATCTAAAAAAATGAATTCTGCCTCATTCTTTCCAATCTTCAGGACTGATGGCTACTGTTTCACCATGGTAGAAGAAGATGAATCTGGAGGACGTACAATTGCCTCAGGATGTCTAGGTTTAGAAGGCTCCGACTTCCAGTGCCGGGTAAGAAAGTGGTTGTGATCAGTTTGGTCTGGCTGTTGTGATAGTTTTTGTTCAGCTGCAGCATTGTCAGGAGGAATGCCTACATCTGCTGCTTTGAATTTTGTTTGTGTAGGAGATGTGCCTTCTGTATTGAATGCTGAGGAAATGACATCCTCTCCCCAAAACTCTTGCTACTGCTTCAAGCATGCCATGCTGCTAGTTAACTAATGTTAAACTCTGCTGACCTGCTAAAAGTACGACTCGGGTAATTACATCCCAATTCTCTAAATTCCCCTTGCAGCTTCAATTAGGTAAAACATTCTTTACTTCCTCTCCTAAATTGCTGTGTGCTGCAAAAGCAGTGTGCTTGCATGTTTAACACAGAGAAGTCACGCGAGGTTCGATTCCCAGCTGTTCTGTGCAAAACTCAATGTGACTGTGGAGGGAGGACAGCAGGTGGAGCAAAGATTCTATGGGTACAGCTGCACTGCAAAATAAAACCAAAAACCACAATCATGGCATGAGCCTCAGTCAGCTGACTTAGGCTCGTGCCACAGGGCTAAGAATAGCAGTGTAGATGCTCCTGCTTGGGCTGGAATCTAGGCACAGGCATTCACCCTCTTGCTGGGTTTCAAAGCCTAGGCTCCAGCACAATCAGGAACATCTGCACTGCCATTTCTAGTTCTATAAGCCTGAGCCCAAATCAGTTGAGCTGGTTGCCACGATTTGTTTGTTTGCAGTATAGAAATACATTAAGTAATCTTTCCACTCCCATGCCCAAATCTCGGCCTGTCCAGGTGCAAAACCAAACTATTTTTTCAACTTAGCGCAGCCTAAGAATTGCTCTTATTTGCACCCACTTGTAATAAACTCTCAGGAGTATCTCCAAAGTACAGGGCATTGTGTTCTGTCCCTTTCTTCTCCCTGTAATGCTCTTCACAAATCTCTTTCACTGAAGGGAACAGATGACAGAGCCAACTACATTGGCTTTAAGCCATCTGAGGATTCCCCTGCATGAAGGAAGTCATGCCCTAAAGCAGTTGTTTTCCAGCTACGGGTTGTGACCCAGAACTGGGTCATGGAATGTCAGGCACTAGGTGTAGTTGCTGCAGGGCATCAGGTGTTCAGTGTACTGCAGGCCCGGCTCCTATGGTGGGGTGGGAGGGAAGAGAGTGCACAGGGCTCCACGCACTGCCCCTACCCCTGTCCCAAGCACTCCCATTAGCTGAAAACCTGCTGCTGCCTGCTTCTGGGGTGCAGCATGGTCTACGGTTCCAAGAGAGGCAGGAAGCCCACCTTAGTGCCACTGCTGACCTGGAGCCGCTCACAGGAAGCCCCTCCTGTCCCAGCCCTGAACCTCTTCCATGCCCCTCAAAAGCTCCCTCCTACACTCCAAAGCTCTCATCCTTAGCCCCACCCCGGAGCCCACACTCTAGTCAAATTATGTTGGGTTGCAAGCATCCTCAGTTTTCTTCAACTAGGTCATTGAAAACCACTTTCCTACAGCTCAGATTTCTGAAAATAAGAGTCTACTAGGGGGCTCTGCCCCCTGCTTCCTACACTTGCCAACCCCCTTCTCTTTGGGGATAGGTGTCTGGTCAGGGGGAGGGTGCAGGAGCGGGCTGGGTGTACGGGATCTTGGTGGAAGGGGTATGCGAAAGGGCTGGGGGTGCAGGTCTCAGCAGGATGGTGAGTGAGGGGGGTTGGGGATGCATGGTCTCAGGTTGGGGTTATGAACGAACGGGCCGGGCAGTCGGAATCTTGGGGTGTGGTAAGGTGGCTGGGCGTGTGGGTCTCAGCCAAGGGGTTGTGTGATGTGACTGAGGATGTGGGCTCTCGGCCACAGGGGTGTGTGACAGGGCTGGGGGAAGAGGGAGGGCACGTGGCTCTGGCTCCCCTGGGGAGGGGGGAGAGCATGCAGCTCTCAGCCCCTCTGGAGAGGGGAGGGCATGTGGCATCTGACCTAGGGCACTGGAGAGTGAGGGGGAGGCAGGGTGGCTGAGGGCAGAGGAGGCTGTTGGATGCAGAGTGATGTGATGGCATCACTGTCATCCTACAGGACATTTTTCACAGACACAGACACAGACACACACACAGACACAGACACACACAGAGAGAGAGAGAGAGAGAAATGAGGCTCCTTATTGCTTCCCAAATAAGTAGCCAGATTTTTCAAAATGCTGAGTATCCTACAATTTCTGAATTCAAACCTGAGGTTAGGCATCTGTTTCTGGAATCTTGGCCATGGGGGCAACATTATATCGCTTTGCTCTGGAAAGTGAGACAGAGGATCAGGCCCTTGTCTCATTGTACATAAATGTGAAATCTGCCTGCCCCCAAATGCTTGAATAATGAAACACTAACATACAGACTCTCACAACTCTTCCGTACGCTGCTAGGGCCTTGTATAATTGTAATGGCTTCAGTGGAATTTCAGAAAGCATGAATTTGTTCTTAAATGTTTAAATGAAGTGTTGCTGGAATTTATTAGGATGTCTCAAATCCTTATTGTAGTCATATCCTTCACTGGTTGTGATGCTGTTTACCACGTTGGTCTGTCTCCTTCCCAGCGCCAAAATAACAGTCTCTGTTTAAAAGAACAAAGTTGCTCATACAGTTCTGTCTGAATTCCTCTGTTGCAGGATACACCCATAATACATCACAAAAGAACAATTGCATGCTGCACAGACAAAGATTTCTGTAATGAAAATCTTCACCCTACGCTGCCACCGCTGAAAAACAGAGGTAAGGAGGAGGAAGAAAATCTAGACTTAAAGCAGTAAGTGAATATTTTTTCCCTGGTACAGACATGAGAATTGGATGAGCTGTATGGAAAAACAAAACTTCATGTATCTTGTAACTGTTCTAGTAATATATAGAAATGGTATCAGCTTGGTTGTTGCTGGTATTTATATTCCCATTATGCCTGTAGAGATCAGTCAAGACACACAGACCCATTGTGCTAAGTGTTGTGTGTAATAAAGTAATCGTTCCTCCCTAAAGAGTTCACAGTCTTGGTCAGGCTGGTGCAGGAACTGTCCGTCTTTGTACAGTGCTTGGAGGGGAAGGGGGGTCACTTACTGAAGCCTTTAGGTCTCATTCCATACAAATATAAAATAACAATAATGAATGACCTCCATCATTGCAAAAGATTGTACTTTGTAGGAATATAATAGTTTCCATGTGACATTTGGGACCTGATCCTCAGCTGCTATAAATCAGCAAAGTTCTCCTGAAGCCAGTGGAACTAATGATGATTTATAGCTGCTGATAATCTGGTCCTCAGAGAATAAGGGTTAGGCATTACTATGAGTTCTGTCTTGCAGACGTATAGAACAAACAAAGGCGTAACACTTCACACAAATGCATTCACAATTTTGATTGGTAATTGCACAATCATGCAATTATGTTTTGAAAATACAGTAGTTCCTGTGATATTTAGAGACCTTGGCATAAGGGATGTGCCAGTTTTGTGTGGTCAGCATAACATTTGGTACTAGGAGAAAGTCTCTCTAATTTTTAGGGGGGAGGGTGATATTTCCTGTTTACAACTGAGAAGGAAATTTGGACTATAATGTTGACCTGTAAGTTAATACCTATTTCATATCTCAGGCTAAACACAGATATTTTTATTACTTACTTAATTTCCTACCCAACCCAACTACCCATGCATGTGTACATAAAGGTGCTATTCCTGCAGTCCTTACATGTATAAGGGCTTACTTCATTGAGATTCCATGCAGTAGGAATACAGAATTGGGTCCATAGTATATACTATATAAAATAGTTCCGCGCTGACTGGTGAGCCATGAGATCCTGGCTTTGATATTCTGAGATCATGAGATTCTGACTTCCAGCTTATGAGCTTGATGTAATTTTGTTGGTCTTTATTAAGAGAAAAAATTACTTGAATAGAGAGAATATCCCCAAGTTGTATACTAATATAATTTTATTTTGGAAAGTAAAGACCATGATTTGTGCCTTCCCTCCCTCCCCCACCCCCTCAGTGGTTAACTAAACTCCTGCTGATTCAAAATGCAGTAACCTTGTTTATAACCAGTCTCTCTCCTTGGTTTTATATTACATTTTCCAGAATGGCAATGTAAAAATTGGGTAATTAGCTTAGTCATAGATCTATCTATTGCTTATGCAAAAAATCATGCTCTTTTGCTAATGCCATTTTTCTTTTTGCTGGGGCAGAAGACATTTAAGTACTAAAGAAACAGATAGCTAAGATTAATAAACATGAAATAACAGAGATACTATTTTGAATACATTATTAGATTAATAGCTTTTGAGCATCTCTGTAGCTGCTTAAATACTGGAAAAATTAGTTGTTTAATTTGTTTGACAAACAAATGGCAGTATGTTCATTTAATACATATTTTATGGTTAATAATTCCTAGTAACTAGACATCAAATTGTGGCTGTAATTTTGGAGACTGCTTCAGATTATGTGGCCCTATGATCTGTAGCTATGGAACAGCCCCAAAAGTCAGAATTTTTTTGAAAGCTGCATGATCAGCTTTGATTCTTGGTGCCATAAGCCAGGGTAATTTATGGTTACCTCTATAGGGGTGTGTCTAGACTACAGGGTTTTTTTGAAAAAAGTGGGCTTTTTTCAAAAAAACTGTACCTGAGTCTAGACTACCGCTGTGTTCTGTCAACAGTAAATTTGTCGACAGCGGTAAACCTCATTCTACGAGGAATAATGCCTTTTTTTTTTAAGTCATCTTTCAAAAAAAGGGCTCTATTGCATAAAAACAGGGCTTTTTCAAAAGAGAGCATCTAGACTCTCTTTTGAAAAAAAGCAAGCCGCTTTTTCGAAAAATCTTCTTGTTGTCTAGACACTCTTTTTTGAAAAAGCCTCTTTCGAAAGAGGCTTGCAGTCTAGACGTAGCCTAGCTGTCTGAATTCTCCCCAAAAGGGGAAGGAATTTAAAGACTGAATTCTCCCACTAGCCATATCCAAGAATATGCAGCTAATATAAGGTTTGGGGTCCTATGTTTATAGCCATTCTTAACAGTCTCGGATTGTCTTTAAGTATGGTGCAGCGACTGTCAGAATTCTTATCAAGCTATAACATAAACAGTAATGTGAAAATAAATAACTAAAAATAAAAATAGACCTGTTAAAATAAAAACTTCACTGGATTTGATGAAAAAAGTATGTTGCTTGGTTTTTTAAAACACAAAATGTTAGCTTCTGATCAGGAACTTTTTGACCAAGGTCATGTCTCAGGGGGAAACTGGGGTCTGCAGAATCTTTCATCCATAGGTCAAAGGTTGATAACTAGAAATTAACCTGTATACAGCATTATTATCTACAGATGCGTGCAATTTGTGCTCTGTAAGTGTTTCTCCATACCTAGCGTTTCCTGAAAGGGACTCACTCTTTAACTGTGAACAGAATGAATCAACATAAACATGAAAATATCAGAAGAATTAAAATTAGTCAACCCAGAGAACTGGCTTTGTGTCAAGCATGAAGAAGAAACACAATAGCAGCTAAATCCATTTCTGGATAGTGTTCTGGTGCATCCTGCAGTACTAGTAAAATAAAAATACCCTGGAGATAACATGGAGTCCCCTTGCTAGTCAAGCAGCCGCCTTATTAAGGAAATGAGAATAATAATAAGAGTCTGAAAGGACACCTCTTATAAACAATAAAAATATTACTGGAAATCCCAGTGAAAGTGCCGACTGAAAGCAGATGAGAACAAATATGTCTTTACTGATTTAAAGCCTTTATAAGCAGAAGTGGTGGTGCCACCATGTCTGGCTCCCTGCCTGTAGAGCTAGTGATGAATGGGCAAGGGAATGATTGGAGGAATGATGATGGGGTCTGATGTGTGCATACAAGTCTCCAAGCCTCAGATTTCACTGCAGTTTTTACCCAGATAATACAAATACTGTGAACTGGAAGGAACAGGGGAGTCAGGAGAACTGTCAATGCATTTGATATGCTGACTCTGCCTGAAACCCATTTTCCTGAGTTTTAAATACACATTTCAGCAGTGGGGATTGGAGGAATGATGATGGGGTCTGATGTGTGCATACAAGTCTCCAAGCCTCAGATTTCACTGCAGTTTTTACCCAGATAATACAAATACTGTGAACTGGAAGGAACAGGGGAGTCAGGAGAACTGTCAATGCATTTGATATGCTGACTCTGCCTGAAACCCATTTTCCTGAGTTTTAAATACACATTTCAGCAGTGGGTCGTACA